TTGTTACTTAACATCGTCCTGGTTAGGAACTTTAAAGAATCTATGAAAACGGGGACCTCTTTAGAAATCAAAGAGGAAGAAACATATGCAAAGATGTTCTTATTTCCTAAGTCATGTTTGTGGGCTGAACCTTCTCATGTCAGCATTATAAGGCATTCACTTCTTAAAATTAGCCTACACGTTGACCAGCATACCTTTCAACTTCTACATGTAGCTGGACTAATTTTTGTCCTGTTGGGTCGTAAAATGAGATAGGCTCGCACCTATTTAGTTTTGAAAATTCCAAGGAATTCGGAAGCCATTAGCTTTCAAGAATTCAATTTGTGGAATTTTCTCCAAGCACTGGAATATTAGAGCTAAAGGAATTAGCTAAACAGTAATAGAGGACCAAGAGGAGTGAATGACCTCAAAATTTAAAGTCCTCCCCACTTTCCTAAAAGACCCTGACTTCAAGTCAGTCAACACGGTGGCCCCTTAGTCACCAAAATTTCTACTTTCAAAATTCCATACCTGAAGTTATTGCACAATATGCATTGCTCGCACATAGTGTTACTCACTCAATCATTCATGAATTCTACAAACTTGAAAGATTCTTTTCCTGCACCTAGCACTACTATGAGTTTCGGTTTACACCTAGTCTTAAAGAAAATCTAGGTTATAACTAGAATCGCAGTTGAGGTAAATTTCACATAAACCCCCAAATTTTTGGCCCATTTTGAGACATCACAAAAAAACTTTAAAATGTCATGACACCAAAAAAGTTGTGTGAGTTTAGTCTGTTGGCACACACTATCCGCAACCCAACACTGATCATGATCTATGCAGAAGCATCACCAAAAGCCTGATTAGATCTCATCCTTCTTCGTAGACCAATCAATCACCGACCAATGTGGACACACCAAGAAAACCTATTTGAACTAAAGAGAATAGCATTGTACCATAGAAAAAAAATCAAGAGACAAAGACACATGATTTACATGGTTTGGCAATCACCTATGTCCATGGGCGAGATTTAAGTCTTCTTTATATCAGACATTATAAAGATACAATTTTTCTTGTGATCTCAAAGATTCTACAAGAAACGTTGTCTCAAACTCGCTGAAGATTCTCTCAAAACTCCAGATTTCTCTCCTTAGTATAATCTAACTCCGTTTTCTCTATGGCTTGATTTACAATGAACCTCCCAAAGGGTATTTAAAGAGCTTTCTTCTATCTTGAATTCATGTAAGACTCATTTAACTTGGATTATCAATTCTAATCCTCTTCCAAATAGAATTTAATTCTAATTGTACTTGATTCCAATTAGAATTTAATTCGAAATGTACTTGATTATTTCCAATCAAATTCAATCACAATCCAAGTCCAACTAGAATTTCCTGAAATACAAGGTTATTTTCCAAAAAATCTCTACCTTAGGCTTGTACGAAGCCAACTTAGAAAATGACGATCCTTCCCTATAACTTTTCGTGGAAAACTTATAAAACTATAGAGAACAAACACCTTCGAGAAAGCACCTTAAAGCCCGATCAATGCTCACGCATTAATGTCAAGCCTTCTGATAACTTGACACCTACCTCCATTGCTACACTCTACAAGCCTGGCTGTCAACATATTGGCAGTCTTCGTCTTGACTCCTCCACCTGGAGTTGAACTCCCATCTTGGCTCTCCCTTAGAACCCAAGTTTGTTTCAAGTCCTCTTCCTCGTGGTCGTACACCCTCTTGAAGACAAATGTCCATCTTGAACATAATTTCCTTCGGACACCCGATAAAAGGCATCTCCATACTTCTTTCCAACTAGGACGGGATTTATAGCATAATATATTGTTATGACTCCATCGTACACTTGGGTTCGTTAGCTCATAGAGTCAAGCACCCCAATGAATATCAAATTCTTCCTTGCCTTTGAGATTAACCGAACATTCTCTAAGACGATCATGCTCCCCTCCTTCCCGCTACCCTGACTGCTCCTACCCTATGACGTCGCACCTTGTGCCGTCCACCGTGTAGACAATCTCCTTGACTTCTTGCACAGGGAGTAAAACTGGCTTATTTAGGAACATATATAAACCGATATTCCAGAATCTAATATTCGAGAACACTAAGAAGGTGTGGTTCCCAGAAACCACCAACACCTCTACTCATTGACTTTTTTCCGTCGAAACCTCAAACGCATTATCTTATTTATTTCCTGTAATACTCAGCTACATATGAAGTTTGGGCTACCCGATCATCTTTTGCCCAATGTTTGAAAAAGCTTTTTTAAACTTGCTTCAAAACTTTTTAAAGGGTAAACGCTTCAAAACTCAAGAGTAAAGCTATTTGTCCCTTGAAGCTTACACTTCATCGCTTAAAGCCTAAATGAAGTGTGCGCTTTGCGCTCCATAAAGCGATTCTCTTTTGAAGCACGCGCTTTAGACAAGATAAGATAATTTAAAAAGATTTTTAACTTATGTCTCAATATGACCGCATAATTATAAATAATATATATAGTTCATTTAGCTTAGTTTATTGTAATTTGCATATGTACTTCACATATTTAATTCTTATTTATTAACCAGGATATGAATGTATCAATTTGAAAATTATTATCACTATGTATTATAAGCTCATAATGTTTTCATATTTCAAAATTAAAATGCTTAAAGCTCATGAGGCTTACGCCTCACGCTTTCGCTTTTTTAAACATTGTTTTCGTCCTCTCAACCACTCTTGCTATTTGAAGCACTCTTTTTTCACGAGACCCTTCTCATCGACAAAAAGAAACACCTATTAGCCTACGAACTTATCCCGTTTTTGAGGATATATTCCTTAGCCCATATACAACGAACCTGGCACTAGAACTCGACTCATCGCCAACACTATGTTGCGCTAAAAATTGTTCGTGAGGAACATCGCTTTGACCTCATCCATGGTGATTGTCGCTTTGCATATGGTTAGCTATGTCTTCAGATATTAATAACTCGCTGGAAGAGAACTCAACAAACTTACCGTTTTGTCATCATCTTAAATCTTTGACCCTATCGCCGCTAATTCGATCACTATCCTATTGAAGTTGCTCATATGCTCCAACAGTATTTTACTTTTCTTCATTCACAATCCATACAACTATTACTTCTAGTACAAATTAGTGGATGCATTCTTCGTCATGTATAACTCCTCGGGTTTCTTCTACATATTAAGTGTAGTATTCTCCTCGATTGTATGGTAACCCACATTATAAAAGAGCAAGTAGAATGGCATTGCGCACCTTCCAATCCATCCTGTTCCACTCATCACTTGTCATTTTCTCCAGCTTCTTGTCCACTCCTAGCAAAGTTTGATCTAAGTTGTGTTGAATCAAGACCGCCTCCATTCTTTTTTGCCAAAGCCTAGCATACATCTTACCATCGAACTTTTAAATCTAGGTCTTCCTCACCAAAGAACTTTCCAATTCCGTGTCACAAAGATGAACCTTTGTTCACAGACAAATATGATCTTATCGAAATCCACCTCTAATACCAATTGTTGGTATTACCTAATGCTCCGATACCAACTGTTGGCGCAAGCCACAAGCAACCTAACACCAATTGTTGCACACTAACCGACGACCTATGCAGAAGCATAGCTTGCGGAAGTATCACCGAAACACCTGATTAGATCTCCTCCTTCATGGACTAATTGATCACCGGGTGATGTGGAAGCACCGAGAAAATTTTGTACAAACTAAAGAGACTGACAACATACTACAGAAAAAAGCTCAAGAGACAAAGAAACAAGATTTATGCAGTTCGGCAATAGCATGTCCACGGAAAGAGATTTGAGTTTTTTTCATATTAGACATTACAAATATACAATCTTTGTTGTGATCTCTAAAGGTTCCACAAGAAACCCCCTCAATCTCACCAAAAGATCTCTCAAAATCCTAGATTTCTCCTTGTATCTCTCCAACTCTCTTTTACAATATGTAACTCTCCTTGGCTTTTCCCAATGACTTGATTTACAATGAAACTCTCAAGAGCTAAGCTATAGGGATACGAGTACGGACACGGGTACCTGACAAGACAAATATGTAACAGATAGGACACATGAACATGGCTGAATGAATAATATTTAGAAAATACTCCATAATTTATGATTTTAATAGTATGAAAATACTATGTTTTTCTATAATGTTTTTTTTCTTTCGAAAGTGTTCGAACTTATTTTCCAAACACCTATAGGATCTGTTGTCTTTCCCCTGTAAGAAGACAAAAAAGGGGGGAAATAAACAAAATAAAAAAATCTAGTCAATACAATCAAACATCAGCCTCTTTTAGTCCCCATGCGCTTGTCACATGGATATCATCATCAAAAGCCAGCAGCCAATGAAAAAAAGGCACGACGTGATTCCCACCCCTCTACAACAGGGCAAAATCTTCTTCTTCCCAACAACCACAAGAATCAGCGGCTTTCTTCCTTGAAACTCAAAATAAACTACAGCTGTGTCCCTCCCATTTGGGTGCATGCACGCACCCAATATGTGTCTGACGGGGTACGGAGCCCAAAATAACGTGTTAGGGTATCCTAGCTCATGAGGTATTTAAAGAGCTTTCCCCTCTTGTGAATTCATGTAGGACTCCCTTGACTTGAATTATCAGTTCTGATTCTCTTCTAACTAGAATTTAATTCCGATTATAATTGATTATTTCCAATAAAATTCAATCCCCCACCCAAGTTCAACTAGGATTTCCAGGAATATAAGGCTATTTCCCAACATAGTCATCTTGAACTTGTTTGATATATTTCGCATATATGGCTGAAGTTTTTATTTGTCAACTAATGCTCACATTTCAATGATAAAGGTATCAAGCAGGACGTGGGAATTTACAATAGGCTACATTTATGAGTGTTATGACCTCTTCACGTGTTACCAACCACTAATTCCACTATATGAAGATAAGAGAGATAGCCCTTCATGTAAGATATATGGCTTATCGTCAAGGGACTGATGTGAAGATATGAGCACCATTAGTCACAGAAAGAGAAAATTTGAAAATCTACTACCCAATTCATATAACAACATAAACATCACGATGCTCTCACATAAAAGACCCAAAAATACATTTACTCTCTCCTTTATTTCAAAGGGTCTGGCATAAATCTGGATGACACTCAAGTCACTTAAATCTTTACGTAACATGACTTTGAAATAATGGCTGCACTATTCAGAGCCTTTTACCTAATGCCTCCAGACTATGAAAGGTCAAGTACAAAGGCTAGCTAAACAAATTGAGACCCATAATTATGAAAAAAGAATGGAACACAAAGCATGCTACTTTTTTCGTTCCGAAAATAATCAAAGAAATGGAGGGAAACATCATACCCAATGGCCCTGAAACTGAAGGTAGATTGAAAAAAATCGGAGAAGAACTATTTACTTACCAGCCAACTCTCTCCCATATTATTCCCCAGTGGTTGGGTCAATCATCAAAGAGGGTATATGTTCAACCTTATGCCAATCAGGTCCCATACTACTAAGTCTTCGCATGATATTTGGTTGGAAGCCTTTCATCACCAAATTCTTTAGAGACAAGTGTTCTAATCCATCTGGCAGTTTCATCAACTTTATGCAGTTTTTTATTCTTAAATCAGTAAGGTCACTCATAGCTCCACTTTCAATTCTCCAGTATCTAAGCGCATCCAAATGGTTAACAAGCAAGATCTGTAGTCGGGGAAACCCACCAGCAGAAAACACCATTTCGTCTTGTGCAAGTTCACAGGAATCCAGGTTGAGAAATGAAAGGCTTGGTAATCTCTCTAATGCAGCTATTGCATCTTTGTCCAGTTTGCAACAGAGCAATGAGAGGCTGATGAGATTCTGAGGGAGTTTACAGATACCAGTCCATGAGCCCTCAAGGGTCAATTTACAGAGGTGCTGATAGCTTGGCAAGGAAGTGAAAAGAGGGGAAGCTGGTATGGATTGATGAGTCCTAAGGTTCAAGGAGGTGAGATGATTCAGTTTAGGAAGTGAATCAGAAAGTGTGGTAATCACATCTATTGAAATTTCTGAGATCGCCAGTTTGCGAAGGCTTGATAACTTTGCAAGACTGTTTTGTATCCAGCTTCCTGCTTTAACAACTTTTAGGGTCTGTAGGCTTGCAAGGTTTCCAATGGATGATGAACACACACCTGCATCTGCTGTGTATACATGCCTCAGAGTTTGGATCTTGTATATCGTTTTTGGTAGAGTGCAAATACTTGTTTCTCTTACATTCAAGGTTTGTAAATTACATAGATTTCCAATGGAGGATGGAAGGTACCATAGCCTTCTGGTTCTCAGTGTAATATACCTTAAATGTATCAAGCTTGATATCTCATTAGGTAACTTTAATTTGTGAAATTCAACCTCTGGCGGACAGTTCAAATGAATCACTCTAAGCAACTTAAACCCAAGCAGAATATTGGTTAAAATCATTGCATTGATTGACTTTGAATTGAAAGCCAAAACTGTCCGTGCTCTGCATACTGAATAATGGAAGTCACCACTGAGAGCTTTGTCGAAAATAACCAAGCGACGAGAAGCAGCAACGTCATGCTCTGCAGTGCCAACATAGTTTCTGAAAATCCTAAAAAAGCCATCTTCTTTAGCCTCAGTAATGCACACGTCACGAACGAGATCATGGATACGTAAATGCTTAACCTTTCTGGTGGCTGCACTCCTATCAACAACTTGAACCATGCACCTCTGAACTAGCTCTTCCATATAGCCCTTCGCAGTTTCTTCCAGTGTTTGCCTCCCGCTTTGAGGAATGAAACCCTCTGCAATCCACAACCGGATCAATTCCGATGCTTTCATCTGGTAATCCTCAGGAAAACATCCTAGATAGAGAAAGCACGACTTCAAATAGTGATCTGGCAAGTGACTATAACTCAGAGCTAATATCTGCAAACATTGCTGACCATCTCGTGTGGACTCCCAATCCACATTCTCAGCCACTTCCAGCCAAGTGTTGAAGGCAGGTTCCTTTCTTGAGAGGAGACCACCTAACACCACCACAGCAAGTGGCAAACCACCACATCTCTTTACAATCTCGTGGCCCAATTCCTCCAACTCCTTTGGACAGCTCGGTGTAAAATCTTGGTCAGACGGAAAAGCCTTTTTAAGAAACAGCTCCCAACTCTGCTCATGAGTTAGAAATGGTAGCTCATAGGGTGGGACTCTCGGGTCAGCAGACCTTGCCACATCCATAAGACGAGTCGTGAGCAGAACCCGACTACCATTCTTTGCATTAGGAAATGCAGCCTTTATTTGTTCCCATGCTTCTTGCGCCCAGATGTCATCCAAGACTATCAAGTACCTTGTTTGCTTCAAGAAGTTGTACAATTTTGATTTCAGCTCATCTTCTTCCAGGTTCTCCAGCCTTTCGTAATGCTCCCCTGTAAAGACTGTACCCATGACCCTTTTCATTATGTTTTTCAGAAGCTCACTCACCCTATAATCTTGAGAGACGGTGATCCACGCGCAAATACTGAAATGTGTTTCGACTTCGCTACTGTTGTAGACCATCGTGGCAAGAGTTGTCTTGCCAAGACCACCCATACCAACAATTGAGATCACACAGCGCCTCGCTATATTAGTGTCTAACAGAAGTTCGAGTATAAACTGCTTGTAAGTATCAAAGCCGACAACAACCATGTCGTCATCAAGATGCGGAGATGATTGCCTGCGAACCTGAAGCATCGCATCAACTGCTGAATAACTTGACTGCTCTCTGCTTTCGCTTAGACTAACAATGCCATAAGCATCTCTGCTTTCACAAATCCTAAGGACTTTGCTTTTTATTTGCGAAATCTCAACACCAAGTTCATGGAGGCCCACTAGATCAGAGAGAAAGCAAATGTAGCTCCGGAAGAACTCTGCTATTGCTCCTTGCTTACTATCATTCTGCAGGAAGAAGAGGTCAACAACGTCTTCGGCTTGGTATGCAACGTCTCGTACCTGTTGGAATTACTTGGATTTTAATATCTTTTTGTCAAATAATAGCCTTGTTGATAGGTTGATTTTTCATTCAGCATTGCAATTTATTTCATTTGCAACGAGCAATGTTTTCTTTTGATGAAAAGGGCATAAACTACTCTTATATTATTTAGAAGTTTATGGAAAAGAATGTGAAAGGGCAAAGAAAATGTGGAGATGGAACCTCAGGGCCTATAACTAAAAAAAAAAGTCTTAAGTAACAAGGTTGCTTCATATATTGAAAAGTGCATGCAGTGAACAATAACTTGTATCGTGCTCACAAGGGACAAAGGTGTGCACTTCCTGAGGATGGCTTTCAACCTTAAGTACCTCTACCCCCTAAGTCAGCCACCAAGTCAAAGAATAAAAGCTATCAACCAAAATTTCCTGAGTATACTCAAGTTCTTGAAGCTTGTTCTATTTGTAGGGCAGACATGATCATGAACGAGGAATGTGGGAAGTTCAATCAAAGTATTTTGCTTCGTATCATTTCCAAAGGTGAACAAATGCTTCCATAGTTGACTGCCATATGCTAGAGGAGAAAGGTCGAGTGATATGGGTTACAATGGTGTTATGTACTGAGTTCACCAAGGTTGTAAACATGACACTTAAAAATGTAAGTAAGTTGATGTTAAGTCTAATTCTACTCAAAACTTATAAAGAAATCTAATCAAACCCATTCACATCAATCTAACAACTACAATCAAAAATTGTAAAAAAAACTAGGGTTTGATTTGGAGATTGTACCTCCCTCACCCAGTTCTTGACCCTCTCATCCCCTTTCCTCCTCTTAGCATCTGCATCTTTGAGGAAGCTCTCCATCCATCGAAGCTCAGTTCGAAGCCACTCGATTTCACCTCCAATTTCGGACAAGAACTTGGTTTCCTGAATCAAAAGCTGCCCTAGCTTCTCCACTGCAAAGGAGATGGCGCTCCCCGCCATCGAAATCGAGATGGGTTAATCCTGAGGTCCGAGGTGAAAATTTCTAACTCTGAATTGAGATCTAATTGTACCTGAAATTTTTTTTTTGGGGATTTTTCCTTTTGTTTTTCGAACTCGCCGCGTTGACATTTGGTCTCTATTGAAGTTTCCGTTCCGTTTCCAGTGTGAATGGGATCATCATTTTCTATTGGTTTTCGACGGCTCATATTTCGGTAGCGGTAGACGTATCATTTGCGGCATAAGAAAATCATCGATATCAAACCGTTAGAAGTCACCAAGGCTTGACGCCCTGATGATCATCTAATCAAAGTAAGAGTAAAATTAGACTTATTTTCTTGATACTGTTACCTCTTCTCATAGTAACTCGGATGGATGCATCGAGGAGAGAAGGGAATCAGCGTGGAGTCATCTGGTCGATCTACATGAGCCGTAAGGACATAACTGAATTGTTCACGTGTCTTCATGAGGTTATCGGATGGTATTATGATGGTAACGAGAGAGCGTGAAGAGAGTAATCTTGATAATTGCATCCGTGCCTTCAAGTGAGTGAGTTAGGGTACGCTAGCACGCGTGGCGTGGAGAGAGTAATCCCGATGATTGCATTCGTGCATTCTCGTGAGTTAGCTAGGTTACGCCAGCCCGCGTGAGGGAGATTCGATCTTATCCCATTGTTTAGGACTAAATGCCGAGCAAGCAGGGCTCAGATCGTAACGCTTGGTGTGGTTTTGGACGATCGGCCATGCTGCTCGATATGGTGTCGAATTGTTTAGTTCGTTGTTGATCTTTCTGCAAGACACATGGCACGTTATCAATGAATTGTTCACATGTCTTCCTGATGTTAGTTAAGGAAGCTTCCTCCGTAACTGAATTGTTCACACGTCGTCCTGATGTTATCAGATGTTATTATGATGGTACGAGAGAGCGTGGAGAGAGTAATCTTGATAATTACATTTGTGGCTTCACGTGAGTTAGTTAGGATACGCCAGCCCGCGTGGCGTGGAGAGAGTAATCCTGATGATTGCATTCATGCCTTCACGAGAGTTGGTTAGGATATGCCAGCCCGCGTGAGGGAGATTTGATCTTATCCCATTGTTTAGGACTAAATTCCGAGCAAGCAGGGCTCAGATCGTAATGCTTGGTGTGGTTTTGGACGATCGACCATGCTGCTCGATATGGTGCCGAATTGTTAGTTCGTTGTTGATCTTTCAACAAGACACGTGGCGCGTTATCACTAGTTGTTTCTTAAGAATTGTTTTATTGCATAAAAAGTGTAATCCGAATTGTTAGTTAAAACATGGACTATCCAAAAATTTCTCACAATTCAACTCAACTACACTAATCAGTTTCTTTGATTAGCAACCATTTAAGGAGCCTTAAATCCATTTAAACTCGACTTGTTATGATTTATTAACTTCCTTTGTTGCAAGTGATCGTGTAACTTGAAACATAGATTTTAAGATTATAGTGTTAAGTAGGTTGTTAGACATGAATCTTTGATTTTGTAGATGAAACCAGTGACATGTATGAGCTATAGCTGCAGGGTTATAGGCTAGTATTTCTCCCATAAAATTTTTTTAAGACGAACTATATTCCCTTAATATATTAGTTTCGTAGATATTGTTTAATTGTAAGAACTCAAATTTTCAAGTTGATATTGTTGTATTTGATATCACATTACCCAACTACATGTACAACAAGTCGGTGTGGATTTGTGTTGCAACCCAGGACCAGGACC